GCAACAATGTTTCCTGTTTCTGAAACATTCGAATTTCTGACCGAGTCCTCTGTCAATGATTAGACGTCAGGTATAAAAAGTATGTTGCAAGTTGTAGTAAATAAAGAAATCTCATACTTTGGATTGTATATCTCCCCCTCGGCACTGAGATGGTTTCGGCCAGTTCTTATCAAAGGACTGACGTCAACGTTGAGTCAACCAATTAGAAAGCTCGGTTTTATTTACCTCGTTATCTTTGATCAACATTCTAGTGAATGAAATTACGGAATCTTACTACTACTGGTCACTTCCCACAAAGACCGTGACTCAGAACGAGCCAGTCAAACCATTCGGCGGCGAATCCAAACCCCCTGAATTCGAAAACAGCCGCCTGGTTCCCACCACCACTCGCACAGCAACAGGTTATGAAAAATGGATCCCCTTACAGTGATGATGTTGATTCGCCGACTACAGACGACGCCGCTAACGGCAAAGGCAACGACGCCGACTACACGATCTCGCGGAACAGCCGCGTAGATGCGGAAGAAATCCAAAGTAAAAAATATCCACAACTAAGAGCTTTGCTAGAAGAAGACGAGACAAAAACAATGGTTGAAAGTGAGCAAATACTGCGGAATTTCTGCAAATTTCTGGAAAAAATACGGTGAGCCAGTGTTATACATATAAGATGGGAATTCCCTTTGCCATTTTGTACAACAATTTTGCAATTGATGTCGACTTGGACATGTACCTGTCAGTGTTTTGAGCTATTGTAAACACCAAAAGAAGGAAACACTGAGTTTATTGCATATAATTGGTCCACTCGCTGGGAATAATACTATTACGATGTGTTCTCGAGTACAACTGATACGTAGTAAGTGGTTGACTGTTTCATATCTCACAACCAACGCATGTATGAGTTAAGTAAATACATCATTAACCTCGAGCAAAGTTCACATCTTGTGTTTATGTTTGTATCCATGGTAACCGCGCCTACTGCTCTTATTGCATTCTAAATGTCTAGCATGTAACTGTGATGTGAGCAGTTGCCATGATATACGAAAATCCCTACACATTAAAAGTATGAATCGATAGCGCGGGTTGTTCCTCCGTCGGTCACGCGAACAAAAGGGACACAGTGCAATGATTAGTGGGCCTGTCACACATTATTGGGTTACTCGAACATACAATAGTCGAATTCTTGTTTGTTCTATTTTAATGTCATTCAAGTCTGTTTTGTAGCAATCACGAAGGTGGTCACGACCGGACAGTAACACAGAAAGCATGCCGAATGTAGACGCCGTGCATAGTAAGATCGCGTTACAACTTGAAATACACACTCCATGTTGTATAGTCCGTTTTAGCATGTTGCTAGTTAATTATACAATATGACTGTTTGTATTATGAAATAAGTAAATAAATAAGTACGTTATTTATTGTGTTTACACTGTTTTATTTGTATAACATAGAATCTTTGTTAGACATAAAACATTGCGAGCGGTCATTTTGGCGTGGTGAGTGGAATACCTTGTTGGCACCACGTAAAAAAAGTTATCATATGTCAGTGGTTCATTTTCCCCTCATACGTCGCAGACTGAGGTCAGTTGGTCACATTGTTCGATTTCAAATAGCACATACATAATTCTTGCGTAATTGTCCGCATCCGAAATATGATCGAAACAGGAAGAACAGTTTGCACAAACACAGTAGTTATTTGAAGACAAACTAACAACACCTTGATTTCGAGGAGGTCTGGAATAAAGAATGACGTATTTCTCTTGTTGACATATCAACATGGCGAATGATATATGACAAAAAAAACTCCGTACATGAGACGTTTCACCCTGTTTGTCAAAACTGACCTGGTAATTTCTATTCATGTATATATATCTAGGTCACTATAAGGCACCAAAGGTCATCACATTGACGTCATCACTGACGTCACATGCGAACAAAGGGTACCTGAGTCATGGCTTAAGTGTTGAGACCGCTGCTGCTGGTGTAACTTTTACGAAGTGTAAACCATACCTATAGAACGGCGTTGGTCAACAACCCTGTAAAAAGCAAATAGATAAACACCGAATGCTACAATTAAATGGAAGCACTGACAAACACTAATTAAGCTCGTATTATAAAAAGTATTACAATGGGATAAGACAGATAAATACCAATCTAAAGAAACAGTTCGCCACAAAATAGGGAAAAACTATAGACAATAAAAAACCGAAATATTCTGATAGCATGAATGAATTAGGAACCTATGTAAATTTTAAATATGACAGAAAAAGAAATTCGAAAATAAGCTTACCAAATTATTGCCTGATTACTAAGGCAACCATTGTTTAAACTGAAAAAAACAGGTAGGCACACAATACAAATCTCCTACTGCAAACATGATTTGTGAACTATGTGAAAAAGAGGGAATATAAAATGAATTATACTCCATTATAGCCTGTCCCATATGCAGAGAACACAGTAACTTATAGCTTGTCCCATATGCAGAGAACACAGTAACTTATAGCTTGTCCCATATGCAGAGAACACAGTAACTTATAGCTTGTCCCATATGCAGAGAACACAGTAACTTATAGCTTGTCCCATATGCAGAGAACACAGTAACTTATAGCTTGTCCCATATGCAGAGAACACAGTAACTTATAGCTTGTCCCATAGTATGCAGAGAACACAGTAACTTATATGAATAAATTTCAAAATACATCCCAGACTTGTATTAACCAAGACGAGATAAAGGAAAATTTATTCGAACACTGAACAAAAACGAAAACTGAAAAAGCTAAAGTTACGAAATATAATTTTCTAAGGGGCATCACAATCTAACCAACATATAGATAGTTTTCAGATGATTTCAACTGTGACTGGTTTGTCTAGTCTCCATGCATAGTTTCTCGTAAATACTCATTTATATCCCAACTAGTAAATAACAAGTACTACGTTCCGATGCCGATTTATTATGTTACTGTACTACGTGTTATTTAACGTATGGTGAATATTATATACTTAGTAGAGTTGAGCTTTGACTTCAATTATACCGCCACCGCAACTTATAACGCTTAAACACAATATTCCACGAAGAATCTTTTGTGCTTTTTTGGCTTCGTGAGCATACTGTAAAACAAGGTGAAATAGTTACCTGCCATTTTAGCGAATTTAACTCAAAGCATGAATTAACACAATTTTACTTTTGCTGAAGTGCCTACAATATACTTTATTTTAAATTAGCGAAACTACAGATTACCTGATTAGCTAAAATGACATGTTTTACAGTAGTCCAGACTTCTTCAAAATGTTTTAGAAAGTGCAGATCATGCATGTAGAAAACACATGTTTTGTCCATTTAGATTTTTCCTTTTCCCAACGTTTCAGGACTTTGAACCCAAGTCGTTTGCTCCGTGAACTCTTCCCTGATAAATATCCCCTTATTTGTGTTACATACACAACGCCCACAGTGGCAACAGTTACGTTATGTGTATTTATTTTGTTTAAATTCTGCGCAGATTATGTGAAATATATAATGATAATAAGCCATTATAATATCATAACGTTTTAGAATCCTGTGGTGACCTAGTCTAGTTATTCGGTGTTCCTTGACCACCTGATAGATTAGTAGGAACACGTGACATTCCAGTTCGCTGCAATATATTGTGAATTTACCGAATGAAGCTATGTTAGATCACGCTCACTATGGTGGAAAGGTTTTCAGTGGGAAACCAGTGTAAATAACACCTACGTTGAGCAATATTGTTGTCACCCGAAATTATAGCTTTTCGCTCTTTTTATTTGTTATTAGCGAGCTTTTCCAGTCTCACGTAGACCACTTATGTCGCCACAGGCGGCGCTCTCAATCGGTGCGCAACTTGCGGTAAACTTCCCAAAACATGCATTGTCTAAACTAAAATATGTACTACCGACTTCATCTTATACAGAATCTGAAATTGTACTCATTTTTTAATCTAAAATACCTGCCAAAACTTTTACGCTATAGGGAAATCGCAAAATAACATTTTCCATGGAAACAAATACATGTGTATCCGATTTGTATCTGTTTTTCTTTAATTTAATTGATCTTTTTACAAAATGTGCAGTGATTTAGCCTAATCCATCCAACCTTTAATTGAACTGGTATTATGACTACATATGAAAAAAAAAAAATCGCTGACAAAATGAAAAAAGACATATTGAGCCTAGTCTTCCGCCTTTCCCAGAAAATGTGGGAAACGTGTATTCTCTAGACTATTACGAAAAAAATCTACGAAGAAAGCCACACAGTCAGGGTCGCTCAGGGGAAATGAACACCTACTAGAGTGGCAATAGTTTTGTCAGTGTTGGAGCATTTGCAAAAAAAGTATCTCACTATTTTCATACATGACATAGTGCTTCAACTTGTTGCATGATATTACTGTAAAATATGTCTTTTTAGCCAGTATGTTATAATTTTAGCTAATTTAGCTAATCTCTAATTTCGTTAATTAAAGATGTAGCTAATTCAAACGAAAGTCCATGTATGTCCTCACAATGAGGTTGTTGGCACTTTAATTTCGTGCATATTGGAGTCAAATTCGCTATAATAGCATGTTGCGATTTCAAAGTGTTTTACAGTATTTTATATTTTTTCCTAGACTGCATTGAGCCTGATACTAATGAGATTTGCTTAAACATTTAAATAATTATTTTAAGCCGTTTTTGTTGGTATATGCCCCTATACAATATGCACATATGTCAAAATAGTAAAACAAACGTAACCGTCTTTCAGGTAGTAAGCAAAAAACAAGATTGATATCTACAACTGCATTACTGAAATGATTGTCCACTGTTCGTACCAGGGTACGACTCTCACTCTTTCATATAGAGACGGCGATAATGACGTTATTTCCCATTCTATAAATAGTTCAGCACGTCATATTTTTCAGTCATGTGATTTAGATCCCCCCCCCTTCAACCAATCACCAGACACGAGCTGTGACATGTGATAACCATTGGCCAATACGATCTGTCGTTACATCAAAGTGTTTTCGTTGTGTGCCTGTACTCTTACACTCTTCTGATTTCGTGTGATAATGTAAAGTCTCTGGACTAAAACAGCAGAATATATCTGGATCGCGGATTGTTTTACTGTTCCCAGAATCGTTAAATTATTGTTTCTTCATGTCTGCCTCAACGCTAGAATCGGGCATTGACCTCGACTTCGAACTACCGTCAGACATAGAGGTCCTTCTGAACTCGGATATTTCTGGAACCGACAACGTCGAGCTTGTTTCGGATCCCGATTCTACCCGGCCAAAGCAACCCACTTTTTACCAACTGATTAGCCGAAGTGTGGAAGACATCCCTAGGTAAATTCACATTCTTTGTAAGAGCAATGTTTGAGCGCGAGAACGCTGTTTTGCGATGCCATAACATCGACAAATGCGTATGCGTTTATGAGGGTTGTAGCTTTATCGCCCGTCCATATTTGGTTGTCGTTGTGTGGCTGGGACTCTCCCTATACATACGTTCTATCAGGACTCCGTTTGCTGTACACAATTCCCCGCACGTCTCTAGATCTTGCGTCATACTTTCAGTTTTCTAAAAGTGAAACAATGCGTCTATTTAACGTGTTTCCACGAAATTGTTCATCTCTGTGGGAGGGAAATTATCGTGTATGTTTGTCTGTGTGTATGTGTACGAATTAATTATTCAATCACGTCGTCTGACGCTACGTACGGCTGTTGTCGGCGTGCTCAGGTTAACAATAATACTGTGGTAGTTTATTTTTGAGCAACGAATATACCGGATCACCTATTTGCGCACTTACACACTGCTCGCTGGGGGTCGGGATTGCGGTTCCACCGAGATTTGAAGGAGCACACGCTTTTCGAAAGTTAAATTACATAAGTATTGATGTACATGATCGTGTGTATACTAGTAGTCATATACTAGTATAACATACACTGTTGCCGACTGTACTTGTTTTTATGCAAGTGACGAAGATTTGGAAAAATCGAATACTTTTCAGAGTATTGCGATATGAAACTATAAAATGATACTTCCCCTTTCGCGCGCTAGAATTACTGGAATCGTCTATGTGTCAAAGAACTATGATCCCCCACGAACCAATACATGTTAATGTGCAAAAAAAAAAAAACCTTGTAAAAGTCTAAGTCTGTTTGTCTGCAAAGTACTGGTCTCCTTATGGTGTCAACTGTTTTAGGGACAAGGTGGACTTTGACCAATATATTGTCACTGAGGGCAGACATGGCTTTTATTTCAAATACTTTCTAGAGAATTAATTTGTAAATCTCCTGCAAAAAACTGTTACACACAGACCAAAATAGTTGTTCAGTTTGTTCAAACTTCAGAACAGAGTTTATGAAAATTAGACACATGTATGTTTTTTAGGTTTGTCAGATCTTAAAGTGGGTGGTTCCCTAAGATAAAAATCTTGTGTAGTGTTGAACGCCGTTGTTAACGAAAAACAGTCCTGTATCCACATGCATTGGGTGTAAATCTATCCTCGCCTCTTGTGTAAGTTTGTTTTAGTTTCATAATGTTTTTTCTTTTTTTTTTTTGCTTAGTGGGTTGTAGGTACATTTGTATATCAATGGACTACAAAAAAATTTGCATTCCTTGTTTCCCTTCCACACCTTGAAACTAATGTATTAATTATTGACAATGAATTTATTCTTTTTTTTTTTATTGCAGTTCACCAAAGGAAGATAAACCCTCTCTTAATCCAATGACGTCAAGAACAAATTTGAAGCAGCAGCTTATGCGACAACAGCAACTGCAGCAGGAAGAGCGAGAACGCCAAGCTGTGTTGAAAGCGGCTGCAGAAACTAAATCACACACAAATGCAGTTGAAGTTCCATCAACACTTGCCACGATACCAGAAGTGCCGGCACAAGTCTTACATGTGAGTGCCTGTTTGACTGTTTGACTATTGGTATCTTCATTTTCAGTTTCCTTCCTGCAACTCGGCTTGCCACGTTTTCAAGGCAATGGGACCACATGGTTCCCCAGATAAACGTGTACTGATTTATTCATGTTGTTAATTTCCCCTGACAACTACGATGCAATTTATCCTCTGGTATTAGGTCACCCTAGCTGTTTAAAGAATAAAACTAAAAATACCATATTGTAAAGGACATTTCTTAATATTGTGAAGGTCATAAAGACTTTCAGGTTGGAGTCATCTGGGCAATGCCCTCTGTGACCTACATAGATTTCAAGCTGTGCTATGGCATATTTCATCATATACAGTATACCTTGTTATGTGCAATGACATTTGGTACATATTGGGCCTATTTAGTAGATAACCTTGTATTTATTTAATTGAAATGTATAACATTTAAATGTGATACTACTACCTGGTAGTTGCTTACTGCTAATGGCATAACATGGCGGAAATTAAAGTGCAAGCATTCCTACATTAAATATTTGCTTATCTAAATAAAGACAAGAATTTGCTTTGAAATCACTGCCCTATACGAGTGTACCTAAGCATTTGAAGAACATTCATTGATAGGTTCATTTTGCTATGTATACTCCATCTTCACCAGTCAAGTCATATCATAGCCATTTTATCATTTCCAACCCTACCATGCTTGAGGTATTTTACAAATTGTTGCATACTTGGCAGAATGGTAGTACAAATGTATAATTCGTGGCATTGATTCATTTCAGGTGAACACTCGGTTGGCGAATCCAACTCGTTTTCATGTTGAAGAAAAAAAGCGTCAACAGGTCAAAGAATTTTTATCCCAGTCACATACGGGATCGCCGCAACGACTGACAATACAGTCCTCCAGAATGACACCTCCAATATCTCCTTCTCATAACACCAAGCCACTGGGTAGTCCAGCATCAACAAATCTTAGCATGTCAGCACAGAGTACAGATGTAAGTATTTGTTTTAGAATTATTCAAACTGTACGATTTTAATTATTATTATTATGGTTTTATTTCAGACATAGTCCATATATAAAGAAAAAAGATACAAACAAATATGTAATAAGATAAAATTACAAACCATACAGATTTGAAAACTATACTAAACTCAGTAGACTACCTTTGTAGACTTCCATCTCACATCACTATTGAGCAAGGCACACACAAGCGTATTGTTTGATGTTTGTAATCGATCCATAAAAGCATAAATTAGCTTTCTATATAAACTGGTAAATGTGTTTGTACGGATATTTAATATGTTTACAAGCTGCCTAAGTTCAGTAATGTAGAAAGTGCAATGATATCTGATCTATTTATGAGATACAGTTATAGCTCAACATAATAGCAAATATTTTACACCCCACTCACTTCCATTGCAGTTGGATGAATTCTTGGAAGATGTGCTGAGTCTTGGATCAAGTCTGGGCGATGACATGCTAGTGAACACACTGGATCCAGCTGCACATCTGTCAGCAACAGTAAGTTACTCATCTTAATTCTGTGTTTATCATCTTGGATTTATGAGAATTTTTCTTTTGGACAAATGATAAGCATCGTTTCAACCTATTCTGGTCTCAATTTTTGCAGCTAGTTGTGTCTAATGAACGAGCCCGAGAAAAGATAGAGTTATATCCTGTCTTGGTGTGGCTGTGATCCTACAAAGACATTATTGAATGTTTCTTAGATTGTCCAATTTCACTGAGAAGTCTGAAAGTCATTGAAAGTAAAAAACACTGCTGTGGAGATACATAAAATGCAATTAAGTACTGTGGCCATTATGTTGTGAGATAGATTTAGAAAATACTGTGGGAAAAGTAGACCCAGTAATAAACTGTTTATAACATTTTTCAGCTGTTGTATAACTAGCTCAACCATTGTATCAATGGATGAAAATGTGATCACCTGTATAAAGAGTCAACCATTTGAAATCAGGGGTGTGGGGTGGTAGAGTGTGATCAGTGCATTTTCTTTTGCCATGTCTCATCTGTACATATTTTGGTTGAATATGTGAACATTTGTTCTTTGCAACACCGCGATGGCATTTCTTTCCCCTAGGGGTCTACCTTTCAAATTTTTTTTTTAAACAAATTTTTTTGTCACCCCCATGATTTAAAATGTTAGGCCCCTGATTGGAAATTTCAACCTGTGGCCATTGTTGTTTAGTTTGTCTTGTATTCAATACTGTAAGCCAGAGTTGATAAACTAGTTTTATTGCACGTCTTCATCTATTCCCATTATGTAGTTTTATTCACCTCTCTGTTCCAAATATTTTTCAGCTTCCCACCACCAATTTCTTAGACCTGACGCCAAGCAATGTTACACCCATTGCCGTAGCAACAACATCACAGTCCTGTCCTACAGATATGTCCTTATATGGGGATGAACTTGTTTTGACCGAGGAACAAGCCAAAGCTTTTGTCAAAGACAGACAAAAAAAAGATAACCACAATATGAGTAAGTATTTTAAAATAATTATGTTTGATTGTATATTTTATTTATTTTTACGTAAACATCATTTTAAAGCTGTTTTACCAACTTTCTTGAAACATTTGTGTACAATTTAGCTCAAGGTCAGATTATGTTTTGATTATTTCAGTCAATTCACGAGGCAGACATGTATGTTTTTGTGTATGACACGGCTTACGCCAGCATTTCACCAGCTGTCACTCTCAGTTTATTAGTTAGGTCACTCAACTAGCCAAGCAAAACAGTATTGATGCAACAGTAGTAATCTTGATGATTTGCCAAAATATAAATTGTTTTGCTTTCTGAGAATGATTAATATTTTGTGATTTATTACTTCTTGAAATAAGTTAGCAGGTTTTGATATTTTAATGTTTTTTTGTTTTTTTATTTCACAATGCCGACACAATGTCTTGTGTGATAGGATGATATGCCTGTGAATCCAATATATTAACGTTTTATTGTTTCCATTCTTCTTTAGTTGAGAGAAGGAGGCGTTTCAATATAAATGACAGAATAAAGGAACTGGGAACACTACTGCCAACAAATGGAGACCCGTACGTATTGCAATATTGCTATTTATTTGTGTAGATTACATATTTTACTGTATTCTTTAGATTGTAAATCTGGTAATTATGTATGAATGTAGAGATAAGCTGGAACTCAAAAATACTCTGGCAGTTAGACAGTTTAAGTTGCTTCAATGGAAAAGTACAAAATAATTATACAGCTTTTGTCTTTATCGTTGTACAATGGTCAGCTTCATTTCCACATCACTGCTCTGTATATGGGAAGATAAAAAAAAAAACATATATAGCTGTGCTGGGAAAAACCCTGACCTATTTATACATATTTTCTGTAGTGAAACTAGAATGAATCTGATGTTTTCAAATTCCCCTTAGTGAATGCTTCAACATACTTAGCCTGACTTGTCTCAACTATTAAATCTGCAAAAAAACATTTTTTAAGGAAAGCAAAAAATATCACTTTGTAAATCTGTAATCTTTAAAGTCATTTCTGTTAGTGTACTGCTATTGCTGCTTAGCGTGTTGAAGGATTGATTGATTTATACGTTATGCGTCTTATTTTAGGGATCAAAGAATAAACAAGGGAACTATTCTCAAATCATCTGTTGACTACATCCGAAGACTTCGGAAAGATGCATCAAAGATGAAGCAGGAGCAGGAGCGATCAAGGTCTTTAGAAAATATCAACCGCAAAATGCTGTTGAGAATACAGGTTTGTGAGCATTTTGAGAGTGCCATATGTTGTTGCTTTCTCAACCCAATACTTTTAGCCTTTTGGAGGTAATCCATAAATAAATAATTACATGTATTTTTTTTTTTTGCACAGGAATTGGAAATGCACTGCAGAGCACATGGTATTAACCCAACTCCATTAAGCAACGACACTTCAACGGCCAATATCACACAGGAATTTCTGAAACAACAACCGCCTTTAAATCTTGAAATTAACGAGGAACTGCCAGAGAGAGAGAGTACATCGTCGTCATCCTTCCTTGACTTGGGTTTGAACTCGACGTTGGATGATATGATGGATGACAGTATGTCGCCAATTTCTAACGATCCATTATTGTCAGCATCGTCCCCAATGGACAGCCAACTGAGCAGTATTGATGACGATCTTCTTATGTCGTAAAAATATGCGATTATTGAAGAATTGGCCGTTTCACTTTGCTATATGGACTTAAAAGGCTACCTTATTTAGAGGGACAAATTGATATTTTAAAGAATAAGAGACACAAAGTTATGATGCTGTTGAAGCTCTTTACCCCATGGTCTTCAGATATAAACATTGTAATATTCGATGTATGAAATGACATCCACAGTTTATCATGTGCACAATTTTATCTTTCAATATTATTATATTGGCAAAATAACCATGCTCTAACAGTGACCCAATCAGCCTGAGCAAAAGAGCTGTGTTACAAGTGAAGTTACTTGTACAAGTCTGGTATCGTTCAGTATTAAAATGAACATGCTTGTACTGGCTGTTGGCTGGCTGTGGATGATTGCTATTATAACCCTCGAAAACTTACACACCCACTGTGACTCTTGCGCACACGCTGCCATCACTTGTTAGCTACTACACATAATATAAAAAGAAGGCAAACAAGTGGTTTTAATATTAATGTATGATATTTTACATACATGCTGAAGACAAATATTGATGTCATGCATCATTCGGTAGTTTATCCTACGTATAATTTAACGTTTTGTTTGTTTTTATTTATAAATAAATAAATAAATAAATACAACAAATGTGCAGATTGTTGGATACTGTAAATATTTTATTTTTATTGCCTCTCATTTTTATTGTGTTTTTCAATTTCTCTTTGATGTTCATTGAAAAATGATTTTTCGGGAATGTAAAAATGAAAAATGTAATGATGTATATACTTGAATGAATTTTTATGAAAATTACATAACGTGTCAGCTGCATATTTATGATTGGATTGCTGTCATTGCACAGTTTTGATTCTGCTTTTGTCTTTCATGTACAGTATAATGTGTCTACAATTGAGCCGCATAAACAGCTGATCTGTAAACACCTCTGTAAACTGAACTATTTCACCCAGTATATTTGTTGTTTGCCACAAAAGCAGCAGTTAATGGGTGGCAGTCGCGCAGCGTCCTGTTCGGTATGGGACTCATAGCGACCGATACAACACGCAACACGTGTCAAATACATTGTTTATTTACATGAAATTCGAACACATGTGACAACCACCGCCCTTTAACCCTAAAATTGATTTGACCACATAAGGGTGGAGCCACCACCACTACAGTCACGGTTCAACATGTGCTCAGTGTATTTCCCACCTTATGTACACGTTACCCATTCGAACACAGCGTATTATGATGTATTGAGTTAAGTTTGATATTTGAAACTTTGAATTTATAATATATAAACCTAACTCACCTAAGTTTATTACATGCTACCAGTGGTGTGTGAAAATTAATTACAGTAGATGCTGTAAAAGCTACTTGCAAAAAACTGCTATCTGCATATTGGTATCCATTAGACTTTTCCCAAGGACACTTAGTGGAAAGGGAAAATACTCCTTCACACAACCATTTGAATGAGGGGAAAGTTACTTTGCCAAAACAAAATGTATTTAAGTACTGGTGTATACTGGGTACAATTAGTATTTGAATATTTCATGGTAGCCTACGTTTTATGTTGTGATAGAAAGTGAAAGAAAGATGTTGAACATTATGAGACATTGCTTCACTGTATAATTGACAATGACAACCAGCACTGCAATTTTTATGATGTTGCAAGAGAACTTTTAATGAATACTTTTTTTAGCGCCCGCTTTAATTTGTAACTGGTATATAGTTTTGGAGGTAATCCAATTGAAAATAAAGTCTTAAGTTTTTGATTGTGAAATCTTTACTAAAAGTATGTTAATTAAATTGATGAGAAATTGACAACAACATTACAGTATTTTCTCTATTGCGCACGTGGTCTTGTCAATGATTCAGTATATGCAATAAAATATGCAATCTGCTTCTGTTGAAGATAAGTTTGTAATAGAACAGTATTTTTTTAGAAATGAGAAAGCTAGAACTGATGGCCAGAGTTCCTATGTAAGCTTGTGAAACCTTGGGCTGTACTGAAAATTGCGTTATTTTCTCTGCAAACTGCAATTTGATGTATTCTTGATGTAATACATTATTCATGTTGAATTTTTTTCAGACAACTCTGTACTTGTACAATCATGTAATATATGATAATAGTATAATAACGAAATACAAGTGAATATTTTGAGGTAATTAGGGTTGATCATTTACATACGCTCAATGATGCGTTTTGTTTCTTTCTGAATGATGGTGAAACTGTTTGGGATACATCTAAGCATTAAATCTTTACAGTAGATCAAGAATCGTCTGATGTACTGAAAACTAAGGAATACTATATCTGCTCTAATATTGGTGCATGTTCTTAAAAATGTATATGCTTTTATGTGTACTTCTAATATCTTAGAGATGTGCTTTTAATAGGTATACTGTCTTAAACAAGCATTTGATGCAGAGATCATGATTGACCTTCTGTTAGAGAGAGGGAAAACGAATCATGCTTGCCATTTCTTGGATTTTTCACATGTGTGGCTTCAAGACGTTTAATTTTGAAACTTTTAAAAAAAAATCATCATTGTATGACTTGCACTTGTATTTGATTTCTGATGCCATTAGAGGAAAGAAACATTGAATATGAAAGTACTGTACCATAATTCTCACATGTGTAGCCTTTGCACATGGGATTTGTTAAATGCTGCGACTGTGACACTTTATAGTTGCCGTAAACTGCTTTAATCTGGGGTCAGATGGCACAAAGTTTTGCTAACTTTTGCAAAATTTGTCATCATGAAGTATTTAAAATCCTCAAATCAGGAAAATTCCCAGCAGCAGAAATGAAACAGTTTACAGGATATCACTTTGATTCTTCTGAAAAATGTGCTTATTAGACATGCGTAAACATGTAATTTACATGCGTAAACATGTAAATATCACTTTTAAAATAAGAGTTGATTATTTTTAACAAAAATTGACAGCGTGGCAGATCATCACATTTTGTATTGCATTCCTGATATACTTTCATGTTGGTTGTATTGATTTTAACTGCAAATATTATGTAGATACTGATGGTGTCGTGCCTTTTGTAATATATATATTGGTAATAAACAAGTTTTATTAATCTTTATTTGTGTATTTACATTCTGGTTTGATTGAGTGACTGGTTTCTGACGGAATGATTTTATTTTTTTATATTATTAAAATAATTCAGAATAATAGTTACTTGAAATTGGTGTGTCACAATTATTTTTATAATTATTTTACCTTTGAAGCGAGAGTCCAGCACAGCCTGCTTGCCAAGGCATTATGCAAATGTTGTAAATTATCTGTTTCCTTCACTTGGTTTTGATTGGTTGATCATTAAAACTCATGGTGGAAGGTGGGGGGGGGGGTGGCTACTGTACAAACATTATTCTAGCCCAAGTTTGAACATCTTTCACGATGATGCTGCTGTGAAAAAAAAATTTACTCTTCCTCATTTATGATGCTAGGAATTTTTTTTTGATTTTTTATTCAAATTCCGAGTTAACATCCCCACACCCTTCTTTCTAATGGTCAACCCCTAGCTAGATTTTTCTTTGAGGATGATGTAATGGTATTATTTTTTTTTGCATTCCTCAATTTGGAATATCAAATTGTGTTTTTGTGTTTTCTCCGTGCTGAATTACTAATTGCCTATCCTTTAATGCATTCATTTTAAACCATAGACAGTATAGTGTATGGTTAAAAACATTATTAATGGGACCCTGCATTTAGTAAATATATGTATATAACTGGATAAAGTGTCATTTGTTTTTACACAGAGATGTTATTGGGTGAGCTGTCATGTGGTGCACCTGGCTATAAAAAACTTGAAGCTCCCTTTTGATTGGCTAAGATGCATTATGAATAATTATAATTACTAAAAATACATGACTTTTTTGTCATCATCAATCTTAAAAACAAATTTAAGATCAATAAACAAAAATAGTACTGCTACGAGAGATAGTTGGTTTGTAAAATCGAATTCCATTATTTGGGAAGTTTTTTCCAGGGTCAGAGCAGCACAAGCAAGGTCATTCATTCATAGTTTGATTGAAAGTAGGGCAGTTGCGCATGCGCAAGCAAAGTATTCAACATGGCGGGTCTGTTGACTAGTTTGATGAACAAGTTGAAGGCTTGTGTCTGGTGGGTTTGGAGTTACCTGTGGTTCTTCTGGTTCTTACTTGTGATTTTTCTTCTTTACTTTTTAAGAGTCCCACTGAAAATGACTGAAAATGTAAATTTCTGTAAGTATTCACATTACGTTTGAAGTTTTATTTTTTTGCCAAGTTGTCGAAAGTTGCAAACTTCAAGAGCGGTATAATGATATCAACAGTTTAATTTGATATTTATGTCAACGTTCGTTAGCTAATATTTTTTGAAAATAACAGTATTAGTGGAGCTTATTCAATTAGACAGAACGCGTAAACAATTCATCGTTTTGTAAAATAATAATTATTTTTAAGTTTGTGTTTTTGCAACTGTAACAAACTGTCCCAGTCGCATCGATACGCACAACCATAACAGCTCTGTATTCGAATTCACGATTCTAATTTAACAAGAAGAACTTGAGGTCGGATAAGTGCTGAGCACAATTTGGTGAGAAGCATTTTGCAAGTTAGCAAAACGTTGTTCACCGAATCAGACAACGAGCAAATATTTCTTTTGAAACAGATTTAAGGGCTGACCATTTGAAATCGTGAGGGCAATATTTTCAAATACATGATATGTAGCCAGAAAGTTTTAGTTACGCTCTCATGTTTTAATTGTAACTGAATATGTGTACCCCTACCATGTTTTATGTGAAGAACAAAAAATATTATAGCTGTTGTCAGAATGAACTTTAGACAGTATATAGCCTCCAATTTGTCTACACAACCCCATTTAGTACAATGTGTTAGCCCTTATGTGTTTCATGAAGAAATTTTGCAACAGGAATTGCTTATGTAATCTGGCAAGCATGATGGTACCTAATTGTGATCACAAAAATTTAGACCACCATTCACCTACCCTAGATATATAGACTATATATCTATACTGTTAAATACTTCGCTAAAGGAATGATTCAGTAATTCACAATACACCATTGTCATTTATGAAAGCAACCAACAAAGTACACAATAATGCTGATGTAGTAGTAAAAGTGTCATTCAAATGTGAAATTACGTAACATTTATTAAACCTACTTGTTAAATCCCACTTAGCAATAAAACTTTGAGGTAGATGATGGGAACCTCCAAAAACCACACAACTAAAATGTTGTGAAAGCGGCTAGCTCTGGCAGCCTAGAATAAGTGATCCTATTTGTCATATGGTTTTTCTGATTGGCTAATGATCACCCACTTTAAAACTCTTACTGTGATTGGGCCAATGTATATGTCCTCATTAGCATAAAACATAGAAGTTGATAAACCAGCCTTCTTTGCTAGCTCTACCATAAATAATTGAACAAGACTCGTTCCCTTTTAATTGTAATTATTACATGTGATGTGTATAGTGGTAATCATGCTTCTATTCCTACAAACTCTTGCACATCTTGTATTTCGTGCAGGCATAAAATATTTTACTGTGGAAGATGATACAGTATTTATTTATTGCATCATAGATATATGAGTATGAAAAATCAGAAAACTGCCTTAGGAATTTGTTGTGTACCATGTCTGTCATTAAATTACATGTGCAGTG